TCTTGACAAACGCGGGAACGTTCAGGTGTGTGCGCATTAAGCCTCTACCACAAATTGGACCCAGACCTGCCCAGGGTCTCATAAGTAGATTGCACGGAGGAGTAGAGTTCGTTATTGGAATTAACTGTGAGGGACTTTTAAACCTAGGCCTGTGTATGGCCTTCAATTGAAGCTGCTTCTGCTCCGCCACTCTGCCATTGGACTCTTGATAGTCGTCTCCCCACGCTGCTGCTGGGGGGACTTTTAACATAGGCCTCTGTATAGCCTTCAATTTTAGCTGCTTACGCTCCGCCACTCTGCCATGGGCCCCTGTACCGCCTCCTCATGCTGCTGCCAGGCCCGTAATCTGCCATGGGCCCCCGTACCGACTCCTCATGCTGCTGCCAGGCCCGTAATCTGTCATGGGCCCCTGTACCGCCTCCTCATGCTGCTGCCAGGTCCAGAGTGTGTCATGGGTCCCTGTACGGCCTCCCATTGCTGCTGTCTCCATCGCCACACTCTGCCATGTGCCGCTTTCAGGTCTCCTCACACTGCTGGTGGGTTCCATTTTGTCATAGGGTGCTGTATGGCCTCCCATTGCTGCTGCCTCCACCGCCACACTGTGGCTCCACACTCTGGTTTTGGCCCCGTGACTGCCCAAATGAGTGAAGTGTGCGGTGATTCTAAGATCGACGGCACTCATCTGCATGTCATACTGACTGACAGTATTATTTCTCTTCCCCAGCAGACTCCAAGGGCATTTAAATTAAAGGTACAGTGTTCTGCACTAATATAAAGGCTCTCTCTGAAGCCTAGAAACACCCTTTTTATAAGTTAAATTCACAGCGAATATATTCGGCTCGAAGCGAATTTATTCGGCGAATTCGGCGAATCAGCCGAACCGAATTTTTGAATAATTCGCTCATCTCTAATCCTAACTTATGTCATCCATTTTTTTCACATAGCAGTCACTTTGTAGCGCAACACCCTGTCACCTTTCATTTATTTTGTCACTATTTTGGAATATAGTTAAGTGTCTGCGATCACTACTCCCATACACATACTGCCTGCGGTTTATACTCCCGTCCTTTTCTTTTTTTTTTTTTTTTAATTTACCACCCAGCTACTTCTTAGTTCTGACCAGCTAAAAAATTTTTTTTACTGAAATTGACATATTTACATGTTTTTCCTCTGAGAAACATTTGCAATATTGTTTATTGTATTTACCAGTGAGCACACTTTGGTACTAAATACATACCATCATAGAATTAATTCACAGGTAAGTTATCCTCATTAACCGCCTCCCGCCCATTATATAAGGTAATGATGGGCACAAGACAATTCTCTCGTTCTGGGAGGACGTCATATGACGTCCTCCCACTCTAACCGCGCATGCGCAGCTCCGGGAGCACGCAGCGTGGCGATCGGTGGTGCGCTGTGTCCACACAGTGGATCACCGATCAACGGAAAGAGCCGAAGATGTCAGCTTGGTCATGTGATCAGCTGTGTCCAATCACAGCTGATCACCTGTAAATAGCGAAATGCCGGTTATCGGCTTTTCTCTCCTCGCAAGCTGTCACACTGACTGCTTGAAAGGATAGGAGAGCCGGTAATCTGCATTCCTCAGAGGGGACATGTACACTGATCATCAGGGCACTAATGATCAGTGTGCCCTGATGATCAGTGTAGCCCCAGCAGTGCCACCTGTCAGTGCCCATCAATGCCAGCTATCAGTGCTCATCAGTGCCACCTGCCAGTGCCCATCAGTGCCACATCAATGCCACATATCAGTGCCTATCAGTGCCCATCTGAGCTGCCTTTCAGTGTCACCTATCAGTGCCAGCCAGTGTTACCTATCAGTGCTGCCAATCAGTGCCCGTCAGTGCCACCTATCAGTGCCGCCTAACAGTGCCAGTCAGTGCCGCTTATCAGTGCCAGTCAGTGCCACCTGTCAGTGTCGCCTTTCAGTGCCATATATGAGTGCTGTCTTTCGGTGCCACCTACTAGTGCCTCCTCATCAGTGCCACCTATCAGTACCCATCAGTGCAGCCTATCAGTGCCCATCACTGCAGCCTCATTAGCGCACATTAGTGAAGGAGAAAAATCACTTATTTACAAAATTTTATAACGAAAACTAAGGAAAAAATTTTTTTCAAAATTTTCAATTGTTTTTGGTTTGTTTAGCAAAAAATTTAAAACCCAGAGGTGATTAAATACCACCAAAAAAAAGCTCTATCTGTCTCAAAAAAAGATAAAAATTTCATATGGTTACAGTGTTGCATGACCGCGCAATTTTTATTCAAAGTGCGACAGCGCTGAAAGCTGAAAATTGGCCTGGGCAGGAAGGGTGTATAAGTGCCCTGTAGGCAAGTAGTTAAAGGCTTAACAGTGCTGGAATGTGGGTGGGCACTCTTATGTCATCCACGTACACTGTAGGACCATCATCTGGATAACTTACTACTACCACCTCCTACAAGACTTGCTTGCGGTAGCTGTAGAAGGGTTTCAAATATACACTGAGATCTGAGAGGCTGAAATATACTGATGAGCTAATGAGGATAGAGTAGTTAGCTGGAAAATAAGGGTTACACTTTATTCCATGAACTGATGCTGTCCTCTGCTTTGGACCTACTGGTTACTTTGGTAATATTACTGTTACTTATTGTATTTCTTTTATGTGAATGTTTATCTAAGGTAGAACTATATGACTTTTTTTCTGTTAATTTCAGCCAGTTGAACACATTGTCTGATATTTCATTGCGAGGATATGAAGTCAGTAATGCCGGACAGAAAGGAGAGATTCTTCAGTCATGTCCAAGTATCCTTTTCTTGTTTTAGTGATCTTCTGTAACCAAATCATGAGACCTTTTCATGTACACTATACCCAGTCCAACATACTGTCATGCTTACCCCTAACGCAGGTGGTCAGGCACTATAGCTGGCTTTTGTGTTCTTCACCTATAGCAGGCCCCTTTCCCATAAGGCAAGCAAGCCCACCGGTACTTGGGGCAGGCACAAACTGAGCACAGCAAACAGGTACTTGTGGTTGGCAGAGTGGTTTAGTTACAGCCCAGGTACAAGACAGGCAAGGTTAAGCATAGGGTCAGATTCATAGTCAAAAGGCAGGCCGAGTTCAAAGAGTAGTCGATAGCCAATCCGAGGTCATCAAGGAGAGAATCCAAACAGCAGAGCAGGACAGACAGACAGCGAGCTTGCAGCACATGTTACAAATGCAATATCATGAGCATGAGACTTCGTTCTTGGCTGGCTTAAATTGAGTTTAGTCTCTACACTGAGTCTGGCCACATCAATCACCTTGCAGGTGGACAGACACAGAGAGTGCATCATAGCCAAAGTTAGGATACTGGAATGAGACTAACAGTTGTGACGGCTCAGGAGGATTATATGCTTCTGACACACACCCTAATTTGAGAGCTGGTTGTTTATTACCCACAAGCCTTATACATTTTATTATAAAAATGTGCCTGTTTCAGAATTGGCAAGGTTGGCAATAGTAAGAAACAAAGAAAAAGATCAAATAAGTATTTTAGTGGGTGTGCATCAGAGGAGTTTGGAGGGTAGGTCAGTGGCAAGTATGTGGGGGAGAGGAATAGGAGGGTATGACTGTGGAAGGCATGTGCAGAAGAGGAATTAATAAGGGATTTTAGGGTCCTGTGTAAAAGTGGTGGGTATGTCAGAGGACAGTATCAGCAGGGGAGGACTGCAGAGGCTCAGACAGTTGGCAGTAGGAGCAGTAGAGGGGAGCTGGAGGGATGTAATAGCAGATAGTTTGAGCAACAGAGGGATGCTGGTGTGTATGGCACTGGTGACTTTGTGTAGGAGGGGGGTGTGTGACATTGTAGTATGTTTGGGAGAGGTGACAGACAGGTAAGTGCTAGGAGACAGAGGCTCTGATATATACCACTCTGTTGTGCCAACCTCTGCAGCAGAAAGTTGTGACATGGGTGCACAAGGCAACCAAAGGAATGCAGGGCTGGCTTTGGGCTCTTGCCACCTTTCGGTTGTTTAACACATCTGCCATGTTCACCTGCTTCCACAGTATACTGTTGACAGGTGAAACTGGGAGCAGCAGGGCAGAGAGCAATAGAATTGGAGGTGCAGGTGGTTTCCATAAGGATGCTGGGCTTTGGAGCCCTTGCTGTTGCTCGCTATGCCCACCTTGTTAAGGAGCCTCCTTTGCGTGGTTTTGAAGGGTGTTGCGGTAAGCAACACTGGTAGTGGTTCAGCCTGTTCAGTGGCCACTACCTCAGCCTGCTTTTGCTGAAACTGGTGGAACCTCAAATGCAGCATAATGGCAGGTCACCTGCCACGGTGTGTATGTGCTGTAAAGCTGCTATTCTTACTTGGTCTATAGCTTGTTGCTGCATATGATGAAACATCAGCTTTCCAGGGTCCATTCTGCTTAGTCACCTTTTTGGACTGGGTGAAGAAGGGATTGTAGCTTGAAAGGCGTAGCAAGTGTTCTAGTGTGTGGAATGTAGTGGGGACTGCTGTTTAATAGAAATATAAAATATGCATTCTTGAATTATTTCTGGCCCTTGCTCACTTGCAAACATTGTTTTTTATTAGAAATAACCCAGTTGTTCTATGTAAATACAGCACAGGGTACTAGATCTTTAGTCTTTGACCACTGGTTATACGTAGCTACCATTAGTTGATTGCACATTGGCAAAAAAAAGAAAGCTTTAGGGGCATGCCTGTACATAAACCATTCCACTCTGTTAGCTCAGTTTTGTTGGCTAGCACCTACGTTTTGGACTACTAAAAGTAACGCACCTCTTTCCTATGCAAAGCTCTCAACACTTTGAATCCTGTGTGAAGACATCTGCCACAGTAAGTGCAGGGCTTGCACACCTTAAATCTGCCCCTGGGTGCTGGCTCTTCTATGCTTTGGTCACCAAGGAGAGCAGGCTGCAAAACTTTCAATGGTGTGTTGCAGCATGGATGAGAGTTGCCAGCCATTTAAATTTGCCACCATTTTTGTCCTTAGTCTGTTGCACATCTAAAGCTACTGCATTTTTGTTCTCGGACATTTCACTGTGAACGTGTGTGCCTTTTTCCATCTCCGGGCATGCTGTTTTCTGGCTGGCACCAGCAATTAAAAACTCCTTCGGTGGGACCACACAATGTTGCCTTGATGTCTACATGGGTGCAGCAGCCTACAGTGCCTAGTACCAAAAGCTTAACTCTGCCCTCTCCACAGCAACAAAAGCCATGAGAACACTTGCAGCTTACATGGAAAACCACAAGCACAGGGGTAAGGGTCGGATGGCTTTGCGTGCTCAGATACATAGTTCTAGTTTTTGAAGGTGGGGGTGGGGGGAAGGGTATGTCAGGATAGCCTATTTCCAGAGGGTAGTAATACCCTCTGTTTGGATAGTTGTCCCCGGTCTGATTCCCTTCTGTTTTCTGGACTGTGCCGGTGCTTTAGCCACTCAGCTGTTCTGCTTTTCTAGAGAGGAATTTTCTGCCTTAATGTCTGATTTTATGGGCAGAATTTGGGTCCTTTTAGTGTCGATAGATAATGGGTCGCAAGCAAGCACCTTTAGTTTCATCTACCGGGTAAATCTCTGACTGTGGCTTGGCTGCAGACCCATTGCCTGAGAGGAAGATCTCCATTATCAGGAATCAGATCAGGACGAGGGTGCTTTGAAAGAAATGTTGGCCAAACTCAAAAGTATAAAAATAAAAGGAATTTACTTAGCTTGGTTTAAAAATATATTACAGATGATAAAAATAGATATAATACAACATCAATCAAATCCAGGGGAGCCCATAATTTAATTTGATATTCCTGGAGATGACTGTCCTCTTTTTTTTTTTTTTTCCAGGCACTGCGTGACATTCCGTCCCCAGACATGGCCCTGGATGAACTCCCTTGTATTTTGTCTAATATATATATATATATATGTATGTATATGTGTGTATATGTATATATATATATATATATATATATACACATAAGTTGCAAGAAAAAGTATGTGTCTAAGTCACAACAATAGAAGAACACATACTACACAAACACATAATACTACACAAACATTAGATGTTGCCATGGTTTAATTGCACATAACATGTAAACATTCACAGTGCAGGGAGGAAAAAGTATGTGAACCTTTGGACTTAATAACTGGTTGACCCTCCTTTGGCAGCAATAACCTCAACCAAACGTTTCCTGTAGTTGCAGATCAGACCTGCACAACGATCTGGAGTAATTTTGGACCACTCCTCTTCACAAAACTGTTTCAGTGTAGCAATATTCTTGGGATGTCTGGTGTGAATCGCTTTCTTAAGGTCATGCCACAGCATTTCAATCGGGTTGAGGTCAGGACTCTGACTGGGCCACTCCAGAAGGCGTATTCTGTGCTGTTGCAGCCATTGTTTTGTTGAATTACTTGTATGCTTTGAGTCATTGTCCTGTTGCATCACCCATCCTCTGCGGAGCTTCAGTTGGCGGACAGATGGTCGTACGTTTTCCTGCAAAATGTCTTGATAAACTCTGGAATTCATTTTCCCATCAATGGCAACAATCCGTCCAGGCCCTGAGGCAGCAAAGCAGCCCCAAACCATGATGCTCCCTCCGCCATGTTTTACAGTGGGGATGAGGTTTTGATGTTGGTGTGCTGTGCCTTTTTTTCTCCACACATAGTGTTGTGTGTTCTTCCCAAACAACTCAATGTTGGTTTCATCTGTCCACAATATATTTTGCCAGTAGTGCTGTGGAACATCCAGGTGCTCTTTTGCAAACTTCAAACATGCTGCAATATTCTTTTTGGACAGCAATGGCTTCCTCCGTGGTGTCCTCCCATGTACTCCATTCTTGTTTAATGTTTTCCTTATTGTAGATGTGTCAACAAAAATGTTAGCATGTGCC